AAAACAAAATTACTGAGCAAGTATCATAGTTTAGATAACTAGGAATAGATATGTCGTACTACCACGATCCAGAGAAAGATTTGATAAGCTTATAAGCAGAGCGACGGCCATGTTTGGATGCCTAAGGCAAATAATGTAGACAAACCTCTTCATGCAAACAGACAGCAAAAGTAAAATTTATAAGACCAGCGTCAGACTAATAATGGCATATGGCAGAAAAATCCAAGAGGAAACAAACAAAACCAAAAGCATGTTAAAGGTTGCTGACATGAAAAACCTAAAAACCATTAAAGGAGACAGAATAAGACTAAAAGAGACAGAATTAGAAACACAAATATCAGACAACATTGTGGAATACAGAACGTAGTGAAAAGGAGTAAACAAAGAAAAAGACAGTAGTTCGCACACGGAAAACGCATGGAAGAAAACAGACTACCATGCATAGCTCTTCAAGGGAAACCGGTGGGTAAGAGACAGCCGGGAAGACCGCCAAAAAGATGGAAAGACAATTGGCAGTCCATCTCCCAAGAACTCCTACAGAGGCAACCTGAAACCTAACAGATCGACTAGATCTTAAATAAATAGAAAAGAAAAATAACTCTTAACGGCAATTATTAACGGCTTAACTAAAAAATATATCTTAACGGCAATAACTAAAGAGCCTATCTATTACACAAAAATACATTTGTTGTATTAGCAACTACACAATAAGGTTTTTTTATAATTAAATATTAAAGTCAACATTTACACACAACGCATGTAATTATACTGATTGATCAGTCACGATTGTCTTCCTCGAAACCTGAAGACGTCTCTAATAGAAGAACTTCTCAATTACTATCAACGCACCATCACGACAAAACCGTCTCATTTAAATAGACGAGTTTCTCACCCGTCGAACCCATCTCGTGTCTATCTTAAATCAACAATTGCTTGGCTCGTTGAGGCCGGTATTAATCATCTTCAACATCGATCGACAACGGCGTACGCAGAAATCAAGAATTTATCGATAGCCAAGGATGGGTAAACGTTTTTACTACAATTACTACCCACTACGTAATATTATATACAGTTCTTATATTTCCATTGTAGTCATACAAAGTTTAATGGATTGCTAGTTACATATCCACATAAAATTTTTAATTGTAAAAATTCTAAGTTTAGTGCAGTTCTCAGGAAAAGTCCTGAGAACAAAAAAGTAATTTAATATTTAGCGATGTTTCATTAGTTCTATTTGTTCCATTAAAATTTAGGCAGGTTTAATCATCTGAAACGCGCTAATACACTAAAACACTAAAAAAGTGTTTTGGTGTATTGTGGTCCGTTAGTGTTTTATTTTGCTGTTTTAACCTTGTAAAATATTTTGCTGCTGGGACCTTTGTCCCAACCCTCAACTGTAATAATGGCTACACATCATGGAATAAAAATACAAACTGCTTACTCGTACAAAAGGCAAAACATGTAAAAGAAACAAATATATATATATACACATACAATGGAATTTGAGGATTATGGATTATCCTTCCTATATTACCTATATTGCCTTAGAAGCGACTGCTATCTGCAAATTTCCGGTGGTGGTATATGAATAAGAACAGGAAGTCTACAGAATTCAGCAGCCGAATATACGAGCCCTAGGGCTGAGTACCACATAGTTTCTGAAACACACTAGTTCTAGTATACAACTTCGCTGTCAGTTTCGTTAAGTGATTCTTATAAGAAAGCGTTCTGTCGAGTGTGACTTTAATGGTATTTGGAAGTTTTATTATATTTTAGTAATTTCCCTTCAAATTGTTCCTTTATTTTTTGTTGGCTTGCTTATCGTTTAATTGAAAAGATGCTTCTGTTTTGCCGGCGCTCGGCTGAAGCCTACATTTGCGAAAGTATTTCTCTAATATCGCTAGATGTTCGGTGATAATATTCTCTGTCACTCTGAGATCCTTGTGCTGTGTGGCTATTGCCCACATTGCGATAACTATCTGCGTACCCAAATTTTCTAGCTGTCCTTCTTGGCATATCATCTATATAGAGACTAAAACGACAGGATAAGACAGACCCTTGAGGCAGTCAAGGGTCTGTCTGACCGTTGCTCAACTTTATAGACCTTCTTTTTAAATTTCCTAAGGTCAGGGTATATATTCTATTACTTTCTTCAATTAACTTTATTGTCTTAAAGCAAGGTATTTCTCGTATGAAATTACAAATCAAGTCATGTCTTCAAACCGTATCATAGGCAGCTGTAGATCAATTAATCAATTAATACAGCTGATGTTTGTAGGTGTCATTTGAATCCGGATTCTATAAAAGTAGTCAGCGATAGAACTTGGTCAGCACAACTTCTGTTTGGTAGAAAGCCAACCTGCTCTATGGGTATGTTTTCGACAATTTTTATGATTTGGACTTCTGATTTCACAAACTACAAAAATTACATTAGCGTTCAATATTTTAAGACAACTTTTAATAGATGGGGTTTGTCATTTTTAGTTTCTTAATAAAATATGATCCTTTAATTTGCAGCCATAGTATAGTAGTATGAATCATCATGTATGAAACAATAAACACAAGATGCGGTAATTGGAACATGATTAAAAGGAAACAGCACTGGTTTAGGAGGACATTAAATTAGGCTGCGTGCTCAACAGACCAAGCACTTGTAGTGAGCCATCCATCACCTCTTATCAATGTCTTGAAGGTGTTGACGCTACAGTGGTTTCGTAATGTTCCATTTCATTTTACATAGTCCTGTTGTCCCGATTAGTATTTATAGGGTAGCTTAAGTAATGAAGGTATAGTATTTATTTGATAACGACTGGTTAGGTTAGGTTAGGTTAATACATGCAAGTCCAGTCACTTAGAGCACCTTACAATTTTCGCTTCTAGATGCTATTCAGTTTAACGTACTTGTAAAAATGCTCCAAAATGATATGACAGATATTAACTACCGGAAAAATATCGGAACATCTTTTACGTAATTCACAAGAAGCATCTCTGCCAAAAAGTCATGATCTTCATTAAAAGTACACAATTATTATTATGTTTGGCCTTGTTGTCTCTTTCTATGAGATATTTAATTTCTCCAGATACTTAAATTTCCGCAATCTTCATCAATCGATTGGTGGCTTAAATTCGTGAAGAGTTCAATCAAACGGTGAAGAGTTCAATCAAGACATCACTAAGCTAGAGAAGAGATTTTCGGACGAGAGAGTTATACCTCAGGGTATGTTTTACAATGGCAAGCAAGCACCAAATAAAGGTAGAGATTAGAGATATTTGTTTCTGCACCTTATATTTCGCCACATAAAAAATTAAACCTTTACTCTAATTTCCACGTTATATCGTAATTTAAATAATATAATGCGTTATAATATAAAGACAACCGATTCGTGTCGTAATAAACTGCGTAATGAATTGTTAAACTTATTTAGGAAACAACCCTGTCCGTCGGTGTTACTGTTGACCCGCGACGATGGTATAATAAATATTTAAGCTAGTGTTGGGAAAAATCGGATGAATTCAATCCTCGAGTATTGATCCTCGAGAATTCCAATAATCGAATGATCATCCGAGGAATCCTCGTTCATACAATTTTCTCTGTATAATATCTCGATCGAAACCTGAATAATACTCGCCGCTGGGTGTGAGTGATTTTGCTTGCTGTTTTTAACACACTGTTGCCATGTACTTGAATGACTTAAATAATATTGTAATAAAAATAAATACTAATTATTTTAAACACTTTTTTAATAATTTTTAATATGTTCGTGTATAATTTCATGTGGGAAATAAAATTTTCATAAGTTTTTCTTTAAATTGTGCTGATTTTGTTTCTTTAACTCCGACTTTGAGGCTAATCTGGCAACCTTTCAGCACACTTTCAGGCCAAATGAAACCAAGTAATTCTAGGAAATACGTGCGGCTTTTTAGAAAGGGCTTGTTATTTATTGTTTAATTGTCGGCGGTCGGTTATTGAGGTAAAAAATATATTTTGTTTTACTTTTTATTAGCGTACTTTCACCGAAAATAAACTGTAGTACCTAATAAATTCTAGTAGTATTGTGTTATTGTGCATATTTTAAGTTTTTGTGCGACATAATATCTAGTTTTAAAATTGAATTTACCAACTGTATTGTTTGAGCACAGCTTAACTAATAGTGGAAAAAAAATGTTAATGATGATTGTTTCGGATTTTCAACCTTCAACTTTCTCTTGTGAACCTTCATAGTAGAAAAATATTAACTAATAAAATTTTACTTAAGGCCGAGCTTAAGGCTTACAACGAGTCAGCTGTCGCTTTAAAAACTGTTTGAAAAAAAAATATATACAGCAATATTGTCATTGTTCTTGTTGGCAAATTCCGCAAATCATTCACGCCGAGTGCCGATTAATGCTCGGGGATCGACAAAAAAGGTTTCAGCATAAATCGTAAATCACCTGTATCGTCGTGAGAAGCGAGGACGGTACACCACACCCGGTGTTAGTTGCGTGCCGAGTAATCCTCGAGGATCGACAAAAATATTCGACACATACCGAGGATATGAATACTCGGATGACCGAGTATTTTTCATTCGAGTGATCCCATCACTAATTTAAGCACTCGAGAAATCGACGTGAAAGCGGCCGTGCCAATAAAATATCGTCGATATTAACAAGGATGATTTAGATATAATGATTGAATTGACGTGCTGTAGATTCCCGAGTGTCGGAACTTGCTATGAAGAGATAAGGGCATGCAATTTATCTTGTTTTACGGAACTCTTTGTAATTTACTCCTAATATTTCTGAACTGTCATGCTTTGGGAATAATACGTATTATAAATTTTAATTCTTTATTTTTTTGTTCTTCTGGTCCATATGTTGTCTATCTTCTTTCCTCCATATTGTTGTCTATCTTCTTTCCTCCAAAAATCTTCCTCAGTATTTTTCTTTCCCATATCTCTGCCTCGAACTTTCCGTTGCATTGAAGGTCCACGTTTCACATGCATACAGCACTATTGGTCTTATCATTGTTCGGTACATTCTGATTTTAAACTTCTAGAAATGTTCTTACTCTTAATAATTTTCTGTAATGCGCTGACACATCTGTTTCCTGTCATTATTCTTGCCATAAATTCTTGAGTTACATTTGGGTTCCTTAGATATACGGCTCCTAGATATGTGAATGTATCTTCTACCTCAAACTTGTATCGTTTACCTCTCTCATAATTCAATTGTAGACATCTTCCCTTCTCAAAATCCCTAGCTGACCACACCATAAATTTCGTTTTCTTCTCATTAAACACTAAGCCTACTTTTTGCGCTTGATTTTCTAGTCTTTTGGTCAGCTCTTTCCGATCTCTTGCTAAGATAACTAAATAATCGGCAAAGACTAAGCATTGGTGTCTTTTTGTATATAGAAGGCCCTCTCTGTTGATTCCCGCATCTTTTATAATTTTTTCTAATACTACACTACACAGTACTGGAGTGTATCCCCCTGTCTTAATCCGTCCCTGATTATAAATTTATACGTTGTTTTTTTGTCTACTTTGACTGCATTTACTGCCTCTTGGATTGTCAATTTTATCATCTTGGTCAGTTTCTTGCCAACCCCTAATTCTGTTAATGCTCTAAACACCTCCGTCCTTTTAACTTTGTCATATGCCTGCTGAAAGTCGATAAATAGGAGCATTGTCTGTTTTCCGTATTCATAACTCTCCGCTTGTATTTCTCTAAGGGTAAATATTTGGTCAACGGTACTTCTTCCTTTCCTAAATCCACATTGGTACACTTCAATTTTCTCTCAATCCTGTTGATTTTGTCCATTTAGAGGCTTATCGGTTTGAAACGTCGAGGGCGTCATCCTGTAGCCCGTTCCCAATTATGCCGAAATCAACCCATATTTTTCTTCAAAATCAAATCCTTAGTTCCACCCTGATAAAGATGTAAACGAAACGTCGTATTTAACTTTGCAGGGGGGACCGTGTGCACAGTCGCTCACATAGCCTACCCACCAAATTTGGTCGCGATCGGACGACATCAAATTTTGACGTTTCTTACGTCAAAACCAACTGTCACAGTGACACGAGTCGTACACGGTCAAGTTGGCTTTAATTCAATCTATCGATATACCAAATTTTATTTAAATCAGATGATTTATTGATTTGATTCATTGATAATGGGGTTTCGTAGTGCACGAAACGTTGTCAAAATATCGGGAAAAGATGGGAGTCGAAGAGTACAGATATTATAAAACATAAATTGATCATTTAAAACTGGAAATGGTTCAGTATATACGCTGAATAAGCCCTGCGTAAATAAAATAAATTGATTTCGAAATCATGGACTATTATTTACCAGTTTTGGCGACCACTATCTGCTTCAATGTATTTAATTTCCTCGGCTTCTAAAGCAATCAGGTACCTATTCAAATGTGAAAGTATCGCGATGAGGACAGTCATCGATTGTTGAACAATTAGGGATCATTTCACGCGAAAGCACAATGCGGTTATTCATTAGCGATTTTGTTAGAATCATTCTAAAGGAGATTACAATGACACAGGTCAAACAGGGCCGCGGGTTGAAGGATCTTGACCAATAAATAAATAAATTGAGTAGATTGATTATGTAGACGATTCTTACAAAATGATCCTATTATTCGCTTTACCTGTTAATGATTAATTCATCTATATTAGAAATGGTGTCAGAGTGTATATGTATCAATATTTAAAGAAAAAAAAATAATCAAATTTGTTACATAAGATCCTACTTTAAAAACTAAATTGTGTTTTCAAACTATCTAAAAAATAATAATAAAAAAACAGTGTATATATTACGCTCAATAGTCGAATTCGGGCAATGCCGGAGAAAAATACGCAAATCTAGTTTTGAGCAAGGAATATTTCCCAAACCCGAAAAATTAATTTTATTCGATTATTTTTTTGGCTTATAGTGTGATTTGATTGCATTGGTATCACTCTTTTTGGTTGGATTGGCTTAGTTATTTGGCGAGTTGGTTAGCGTGGTTATTTGGAGGGTGTTAATTTATTGTTAGTTGGTTTTTCGGGTTTGGGAAATATTCCTTGCCCAAAACTAGATTTGCGTATTTTTTTCGGGCATTGCCCGAATTCGACTATTGAGCGTAACATATGCTCTATGTACGCATATTTGAAGTAAAACTTCTTACTAACAGCTATTACATTGAAGTATTTGAAAGACATATGTTTGAAAAAGTGACATATAATGCTGTTTTAGTATAAATATTATTTTCAATTTATTTTTGTGCATTTTCTGTTTCCTCAATAGCCTGCAAATTTTGTGGAATAGCACCCAAAATACACACTTTTATGCAAATGTCTAATAATCCTAACCAATAATTCGTATTTGAACCTAACCAATAATTCGTATTTATAATTATATATTTATAATAGGTAAATTATACGAATATTCTCGTTGATTATTGGTTTTAAATAAATTCTTGAAAATTCTCATATTGAGCTATAACTTTAATAACAGCATTAGAAAACCTGAAAAATTCCGCATAAATTCTGTCTGAGGCTCATTGGCGTACCGACCTTAATAAGGGTGGGGGAAGCTCTTGAACGTCTCAGTATTTAAAACTCTGTATCTTCTAAACGACTTATCCGATTTCAGCAAACTTAGGTTTGTTTGAAAGAGAAATGTAAGCGTTTTCAAATACTCAATCCACTGCTACCCAATAGTTACAAATTAAATTGCTGGAGGGCGCAATTTCCAATAATAACAGTTTTTTTGATTTTGTCACGAAAATTTAAATCATACGGTATAATTTTGATGTCATATTCGGAAAGTAGATTAAATTTGCAACAAAAAACGTTTAGACCGCAATTCGATATCTTCATTCGTTTCAGAATTATTGCCGGAAGAATACTTTATAACGCTTTAATTTGAAGAAATGGTTGTTTTCATAGTTTCGTAAGGTTAAACTTTGAATTGATAACAATTAGTTTTCATTTGTCATATTCCGTGCCTCCCTTCGCACTTTACCTAGGCTTAGGACTAGTCCAAATCATGTAAAAGGCAAAATTTGGAGCGTGCTTAAAGGCCAACGGGCCACAACAAAACAACAATAATACCAGTATTAAAGTTTTTAAGGAAGCAATAGAAAGACTATTATAAATGTTCAAAATGACCACCATTTTGCAACATACAACTATTAATATTTGTCCTAGATTTGTAAACAGCTGTTTCAATTTCAGCTCGTGAAATCGAATTTACAGCGTTTGTAATTCGTCCAATCATGTCGTCCCGTGTGGTTGGTCGTATTTTATAAACAATGTCTTTTATTCGGCCCCACAAGTAAAAATCTAACACAGTTAAATCCGGGGACCTTGGTGGCCACTGAAACAAACTACCCCTACCTATCCAGCGATTCGGGTACTTAACATTTAAAAAGTCACGGACCCTTTGTGAAAAGTGCGCAGGGCAGCCGTCATGTTGATACCACATGGATAATCTTAAGTCAATGGGAACATCTTCCAAAAGGATAGGTAAGTCATTTCTTAAAAAGTTTAAATATGATTCACCATTTAGATGATCATCAAAAATAAATGGTCCGATAATTCTATGCTCTAAAACACCGCACCACACGTTTACACTCCACCTATTTTGGTGATCCACTTCGCGCATCCAATGCGGATTAGTTTGTGACCAATAATGCATATTGTGCAAATTGACCCTGCCACAGCTACTAAAACTGGCTTCATCAGTCCATAAAACCAAGGAGAGGAATTGATGATTTTCATTGCACATCTCGCTTAACCAGTGACAATAGTTGAGCCGCCTGTCATAATCATCTTCTGATAGAGCCTGGTGTAACACCACATGGTAAGGATGTAGTTTAAAGTCTTTTAAAATACGGAATACCGTAGTGCGACTTATTCCTAGGTCTAAGGAAATTTCCATTGTGCTTACATTCGGATTCGCTTCCACGTATGCAAGAACGTTTATGATATTGTCTTCATTCCTTATCGGACGTCTTCTAACAGGAACTGAAATGGGTCGTACACTTCCTGTCTGCCTTAAACGTATCGCTAGTTGTCGAAAAGCTCTTCTGCCATAGTGCCTTCGTTCGGGATATCTGGCAGCATATTCACGTGCTGCGATACAAGCATTTTCGAAACACTGAAAGTACACGGCAAGCATGTCGTAGGCCTCGGCATTAGTGTAAGACATTTTTAAGGGATGTAGAACACACTTTGAAAAATAGATTACAAGAAATTTTAAATGAATCAATGACGAATTTTCCTCAACGTCAAAACTAAAGCAGTTGACAGCTACCTATTCCACTTTATTAATCTCCATGGAAACCCACAAATTGTTTTCCACAGCTATCTAGATCAAATAATACTTTTTAAGACAGCATAAGAATCAGGCTTTATTAGAAGATTTTAATGGGTGTTTTTAATTATAAAGTGGTCCTATCTCATCAAGCGAGATAGTCCGAGAGCACTGTCGCGACAGCATGATAGTAACTATCGGGGTATTTACATGGTGATAGTTTATGCGATAGTGTCTCTCATGACAGCAACTATCGCATAATCTATCATCGTGAAAACGAGCCTTAACATGATTTGTTCTCTTAATATCTCCGGTTAGAGAGAAGATAGAAAGTCGCGGTTTGCGCTGCTATTTTGAAAATTTTGTGCTCTATTTAACTGTGGAAAGAGAAATATAGCCTCCTATTTATTTTTTTTATGCCAACGCGCAAGATCTGTAATGATGTCAAACAGCGCCCTCTAGCTACCACGAAAAAAATTATGGAAACAAAATTTATACTGGAGATCATTAAGGAAGAAAAGCTGTTTTAAACGAGCCCTAGTTTGTTTTAATCGGGTAACCCCAACCACAGAGTTATCTTTATTTTAATAAAAACAAATTTAACCTTCCCCCACCACTTTATTTTATGAGATAGAGTAAAATACTTTATATCAAAAAAATTACAAATTTCTCGATGATTACAACTGTAATATTTAAAATACCTATTCCCCTGCATATTTTTGAGAAAACCCCTGTTTTCTGATTGGATATCAGAGAAACGCCCCCTAGCGAACATTTTTTCAGCAAACTTGAAAATAACTTCCAGCGATTTCTCTTGGTCGATTTACTTATTAGAATTATTTTCCCAAAGTTATACGATAAGTAGTTTCTGAGATACAGCGTCCATTCTTAGTTGGCCACCCGGTACGCATATTTGAAGTAAACCTTCTTACTAACAGGTATTAAATTGAAGTATTTGAAGGACATATATTTGAAAAAGTGACATGTAATGCTGTTTTAGTATAAATATTATTTTCAATTTATTTTTGTGCATTTTCTGTTTCCTCAATAGCCTGCAAATTTTGTGGAATAGCACACAAAATACACACTTTTATGCAAATGTCTAATAATCCTAACCAATAATTCGTATTTGAACCTAACCAATAATTCGTATTTATAGTGATTTACAGTAATTTTGTTAAATTATACGAATATTCTCGTTGATTATTGGTTTTAAATAAATATGACATATGACACATAAATATGACAATGTTTTCCAACGAAAATGCGATTTGCTTAACTCTAATAAGTCTAATTCTGAGCTAGATGCTTTACCTAGAACGTTATTCAAAAGCTGCAAACCAATCGATGAAAATATTAAAAATATGAAAATTTATTTCCTAGCAAACAGCCAGAGGATATTGGTACACATCAGGTACCAGATATCAAGTTTATTATAATGATTTTCTTAGCTTTAAATTAAATGTTTTTTGGTGTTTGCGCGATCCTGCCATCCTTACCACTTTTTTCTGTCAAGGCCGTGAAGTGTCAAGGCCGCGTGTCTTGAATTTTTACTCCCATCGCGCGTAAAGAAGTTTCACTTAAAAAATATATATCTCTATTGTCTGTGTTTGTCTGTATTAATATAAAACTATTGATATTGTTAAAATTTGTAAAATACAATAACAAAAAAATATTGTATGAAAAAGTTAATAAAATAGTATCAATTAAATAATACGCACCCAGATTCCCCTACACTTACTGTATCCAGTCTGAGGAAGAAATCTAGAAGCGCGGAAGTCCACACTAGTGTTTCATACAGTGAAACCTCTAGGGAACAAAAGATGGCGGTTATTTCCAGGTGCCATCCCGAGATAATTGTCAATCAGGATCAAGCGGACCTGATTCTAGAGAGACTGGTAGCGGCATTGAATGAAACTCGTTCAGTAATAGTTCAGTCATTGGGGATTTTTGCTTTGAAAAAAGTCCGGAAGTCTTGCAACTTTGCAGGTTTATGTCCCTAACTAAAATCCATAAAATGCACATTTCCAGACTTGCCCCCGGCGCCGCCATCTTGCTAACATGGCGCCCAAAATCAGTATTTTGTAAATATCTCGAAAATTATGCGTTTTTCGCAAAAATTTGAAGAAAGAAAAATTAAAGA